GTCGTTTTTTAAATTCAAAATTCAATGCCTTATTTGTACTGAATTATTTTTAAATTACCTCCGGAACACTGCACTTAATAGAATTTTTTCTAAAAAAAATATTAAATTAGATTTTTAAAGAAAAATAATTAAGAAAAAAAATGAGTTTAATGGTTTGATGAAATTTTTAAAAATACGTATGACACGATTGTAATGAGAAAAATAAAATTTTAGTACTGGTAAAAAATGTAAGACATCTCATTGTCAAATAAATAAATCATTACCATGACTACGCTCTCGATCACTTCAAGGCAACCGTATATACTCCCCTGAGAAAATGATTGCATCAAAAACGAGTTCCCACTACTTAATCCCCCGCAATGCCGTGTGTCGTACAGCACAGCTGTATATCTGGTAGCTCGTAAAGCTGACTTTTTTTTTGTTACCCCAAAACTACTTCCAATAAAATTCTCGCAGCTCACGCATCACGAAAAAAATCAGATTATTCGGCAGAAAATATCTCACTCATCCGCATAGTACCAGCATTCACGAGTCGCGAATTTCCGACACGAAATTTCCTTTCCCGAGGAAAAGAGGGAGGACGACGCAGTTCCTTAGAGTCGCGGGCTCGCTTCACCCCCTTCTTATCGAGGACCATCTCGTACTCCGAACTTCCTTATCTCGCCCGTAAGTATTTCCCTTTTTACTGCCGCAGCCGCGTAAAATTACGTCAGCGAAAAAAAAAAAAAAAAAATCACAGCACCTCAACGCAAGTCGAGAAAAACATCGCTTCACGTTCCACAGAAGGATATGTTGCGGCTGAGAGTATCCGCTTTAAGCCAGATTTGTCTTGTAAATCGTCGATGGACACGGGACCAAGACTCGTCGGACGATGTATTTTCGGGGCAACCACGAGTGGGTGTATGGGCGTGAATGCGTGCACTGTCGAATTTTATTGCCTGCAGGGTTTGAGGTAAGAAAACAAAAAAAGTATTTTTTTCCCGGGGAAACACAGTGTGCCCTAAAACTTTTTTTAAAGGAATTTTTTTGTTTTCCGCCTTGTGTGTTCAGGCACTTGGTTTTGATGGTACGATAACAGTGATAGTGTACTGTTCGCATGATACGAAAAAAAGGCCTTGGTGTGGGTTAAAAAAAAAAAAAAAAGACTAATACTTTTAGTTGTTATAAGAAAAATTTTGATAAATGAAATGAACATGTGATGTTTTCTCGCTACATTTCAAAACAGATTTTTTTTTCAACACCTCAATATATGGAATTGCAATACTCGATTTTTTGAGATTTATCTACTATATTACAACTGCGTGAATAAAAAACATTTTTTTTCAAAAGTTGTGGATTATTGCCTTTATCGCCAAAGAATTTTTGATTGCCATATGCCAAGTTATTACTTAATATGTTATTCAAAAATATTTCAAATTGAACTTGTAAAAATATTTCACAGCATTTTTATTTAGTGAAAAAGAAAATAATAGCACCTACTATTGGTTCCAAAAAATCTAATGTCCATTAATTTTTTACTTTACAATAAAAAAACTTTTAACATGATCTGCAATAGTTTCGGGTAACTATACAACTAATTACTTTTAAATTAAAATGGTGTTGAGTAATTAGAAAAAAATCCAATCACAAATGACCAAAAACTTTTTATATCTCAATAAACTGCATTTTTTACATTTACATGGCTTAAGTATCTTAAATATTTTTAAAAACTATAAAATTTTACATAAAAATTTGCAAACGTATTAAATAATGTGTGCCTTCTATTTTCGTAACTATGAATTCATAATTTGATAATTTTTATCAATCAAGTCTAGATTTTCAAAGTTTCTTTTATTAGAAATAAAAATTGTAACGTGTAATCAAAAAATATTGAAGTACAAATAAGGAATAATATTATCTGACGAGATGGACTAATTACAATTTCCAAAATACAAAAAAAAAGCTACGAAGTGATGTTGATTAACAACAACGCACATCGTTTCATGAATAGTACCCATACTTGTAAAAGCTTAAATTTATGATAAAAACTTGAAAAATGATTTTTTTCTCCCACAAAAAAAAAAGAAAAAAAAAAGAAGACCACGTACAAACATTAATTACACATAAATAAATCGCTTACCGCACAACAGAGGATCTTGAGGACGCACAGTCCCATCCCTCGCGCGCGAGCCCTCGCCCTCCGACCAGATAGACAGTCATACTCGAGATCAGCGCATGAATGTATACACACCAAACAGTCAGTTTATATATACACGTACGTAGCCCAAGAAGAAAACATCGATCCCCGAGGAGAGTGAAAAAACACCAGCATCAGGAGTAGCAGCAGCAGCAGCAGTCGGGAAGAAAAATCGTCCAAGTCGAAGGGTGGCGTGTGCGTATCATGTGACCCTCGGCGAGGGACGGAAAAAAAAGGGGAAAGCGATCACGTGTACCTTCGACCGCAAAAGTACAGCACATATCGCACCCTCCGACCTGTTAAAGAATAAATTGCGCGTACGCACTCCAACTGCGAATCGTACCTGAAAATACACAACACAGTCGACCCTTCATTCAAATACCTCGGACCTTTTTTTTTATCATTATTATTGCTATTATGATTTTTTTTTTCTTTTGCTGCGAATAAAATGGATTAATGATGCTTGAGTACACCTACGCTCATTCCCTTACCTACGTGGGCTGCGGCGAGAATAATGAAGAAAATTAGAGCCTGAGCTTTTAATTAGTTAGGAAAAATTAGCGTCTCTAGCATGCCCGGTCTTTTGAACCATCAGCTTGTATTTGTAAAGTGAGGGTTTTCCACAGCTCTACGTTCCCGCAAAATGAGGCTTACAGTGCGAACGTGTGCAGTGGTGCGTGTAACCCGTTACCATGTTTTAATGGGGTAAATTTTGTCGTCAACCAACCTTGCAAAAAATATTATTCTGAATATAGTGTAGAGTTGCTGCATGTATTTTAAAATGAATTTTATGGTGATAATTAGAATTTTAGGGACATTTTTACTAATTACTAAGCACTAGTATACAACAAAATTACAAGACTCTCTGGTGGAGTTACGATGATGAAGAGACATTGCAGTACAAAAGAGATTTCAGGCAAAGCTCGTTATCCGCGGTAGTTACGTTACTACAGGATCCCGTGTGTAACAAATCCATGGATAATGAAGCATTGTTTATATATGCCAAAACAAGTATTTGGTTCGGAAATTGTGAAAAAGCAAACTTTTCAATGTATATAAAAACACACATTATTTATAGTCTTTTTTTAATACTTGTGCTACGTCTCCGCTAAAAGAAGCATAACATCAAACAGTGCTTCTACGACTGCCCTGGTTGGACGTGTACCAGTATCGACCATGGATGCCCTTAATGAGGATTTAACTTTAGTTTTACGGAAAATTTCTCGAGCTTACAATTGGAGAAATCTGTATTTTATAATAAGAGTATTATTAAACATGAAAATTTATAAGTATTTTAAAACTAACTCGTTTTTAAACGTTTTTATTTAAAACAATTTTTTTTTTCTTTCTTTGTTTTTAAAAACGTTCTTGTTATCTTGCCTGCACCTCAATCCACCGTTCTTCCACTTAATATAATTATAGGATTTACATTTTTTTCATATTAGAAGACGTCCAAATATGAAAATAATTTTTTTTTTTTTAGTGCCACGAGAAAAACTTTGTTGTTTCATTAGTGAGATTAATGAGTTCCCCAAATTATGTTAGAATAAAATCCAAACCATAATCTTCTGCTGCTTCTACTACATTGGACTTATACATTTTCTTGATTTCTTCGGACTTTAAAGCTTTTCCTTCTTCTGACACTACTTATGACTTTGAGCAATTGTTCTTTACAAACAATTCCTGGCATGATTTCTCTGTGAGCTGAGATCGAAGTTGTTTGATCTACTTTTCTCTTTCCTTTTGCTTTATACTTTTTTCAGCAGCACCCGCAGTTTTAAAGCGCTATTTGACTTTTATTATGTACCATCATAAACATTGTTCCTATGTATGACTCGTTAAGTCGAATTTTTTGCCTAGATTTTTTTCTCGTAATAAGTTCAAAATTTGCATCTTTCGTTCAAATGTCACAACGTTTCTTGTTTCACTAGGTTAAATTAGTTTTAGTGGAAACTCATTTACATATTTTTATGAATCATTTAAATTTTAATGATCTCCAAAGGCTTAAAATGATAAATTTAATGCTTTTTTTTTTTTTAATTATCAAACTATGTACATACAGCTTTTATCTTGTAATTTAGTCACAGATTTAAAAAATCACATATAATCGATTTGTAGATTACGAGATTCGCTTTTAATATTATTTTTTACTTCGAAAATCAATTTTTTAATGAAATTTATTACATTATGTGAGAGCATTTTTTTTAATTGCACAGAAACATTTTACAGGAATATTTTTAATTTCATATTTTATTACAATTTTTGAATCCTTGTTCTAGTTCAAGAGAAATTCGGATAGAAAATGTAAAGAAGTGTTTTTTTGCGTATCATAATTTCGGATCGATTTTTTTAGAAAACCATTTTAAAAAAAGCATAAGATCTCACAATTTTTTACAAAAGTTTTGCCTTCAACTAAGCGCAGATTGTATATTTTTATAAAATAAAACATTGGCCCCACTCGCAATCGTATAAAAAGTAAAACAGCTTTTCATTTTTAATAAGTGTGTTTTCAAGATACGAAAGTATAGACGCAAGCCATATAACAAATTTTATCCCCTATTTTTTTAACTTTATCGAAAATTTAGGCTTTCAATCCATCAGATGTAAAGCCTCTTTAATTGAGGTACAGGTACATGAGAGTGCAAAATAAATTATAAAAATTAATAACTAGAAATAAACGAATGAAAAAAATTGTTAAAAAATGTAAAAAGCATTGTAACTTTCCTACGTTTTCAATAAAGACACAATTTAATAAAAGAAAAAAAATGGTCATAAAAGCTTACCACATGTAGTTGAAAAGAGGAGTAGGCGAAGGGGCTGATCGTTAAACGATGGACACCATGACACGCTTCCTCGATGACGGATGATGGATCATGGATATGTGTCCGCTACGTCGACTCGAATGCGCCGTCAGGGACGTAGTGACGGTCGTGGTGCGCGTGCTGTTATTCTGGACGTTCATGCCAAAGCAGCGTTGCGGATTTTTCGAGCAGAAACGCGAGAACCATGACAATGCCTGGGTGTTCCTGCGCAAGTTTACAAATATCATGTTCTATGCAGGTGTAACAAGATGACCAAAATTATCTGTTTCAAGCCTAAGATTTTTTTTTATATATTTTTTACTACTATTCGAGGCAGAAAGTTGAATTATCCTTTTCTAGACATTGAAGTTATAACTATAATGTCTCGTCAAAAGTATAAAGGATTGTCAGTCCAGTGTTGCAGGTTTTAAAATGCACGCGTCCATTTTTCACGAGGAATTTTTTTTTACCCCTTTGACCGATTGAAATTTTGCATGCCATGCATATCTAGAGCCTCACGTGAAATTCAATACAGCTATCAATTTTTGTGGCTCAACAAAGGACTCTAGAGAACAAAAAGATACATATGCATAAAGCATAGACAAAAGCTTCCAAAATGAAAGAAAGAACTTGGCTCATTCTGATCACGTTTCAGCGATCAATCGGGAAGCTATTTTTATGACGTCTAGAGCTTTTTGTAGCTGCATCGCTTGTGTTTTCAATTTTTATGATTTTGATGGATGTTTCACAACAAATTTTTATAAGAAATAATTAAATCCATGTATTTGTAGTATTATCGTCAAATTATCTGATTTTTATATAAAAAAAAGAAAAAAGTAAATCAGGATAACACTTTAGGTATTTATAAAAAATATTTTCATGTCAAAACTCACCGTTTTAATAGTGAAACGACATTTTTAGTACTATTATTTATCTCTCAAACTGAGACATGAGTATCCTATTCCAATAATCCAATTTTTGCTATATATACGTATTACCGGTAGTAACCAAAAACTAACACTCTCATATCTCACTCAGCTTCGAATTAATTTTCTGATGTCGTTCTAATAAGTTTATTTAAACTTTGTATTAAATAATAGCCCATAGTTTTTCACAAAATTTTTCTTGTATGGTATAAAAATTTGGAGTCCCAATAAACTTGAACATGTTACAATATATGGCGATGGTGGTATCATGGAGTCACACAGAAAAAACTTTCAACACTAAAAATTACTTTAGAAATATTTATTGTATTGTGTTAAGGTATTGAGTAACAATAACTTGATATCTAAGTAGGTAAAAATCAACGACTGGTAGTCTTATTCACAGTATTTCCATACATCATTTGGGACTTATCAATTTTTTTCAGAATCCCATGCACCCAAAAATTTACATGCATTTCCAAAAAGCTTTGAAGTATAGGCGAGTGAAAAAAATTATAGTTAAAATAAGGCGTAATCGATTCTTTTGTCTTTGTTTATTTTAAACAAATAAAAACAAACATTTTTTGAGCATTCAATTGTTACAAACTAAAGTCTAAAAATCAAATTTAAATTTGTAAAAATTTTTTATAAATAAAAATTTATCATTAAACTTTTCTCGAAGTTCCCACTATAGGCAGATCTCATATAGCAAAGAGAATTTTTCGTTTAACCTTTACTGCCCAAGTTGAAAACTCACGTTAAGGCAATATTCGCGATCACTTTCGTATTTCAACACCAATTAAATCGGCTTAAATTCACTTTCAATCTCGAAGCACTGGAAAAGTCCTCCACTGCAAAAAACGTTTCCATACAAAATTTTTGGAAACGCAAATCTGACATGACGCACCAAAACGACCGACAGTTGGAAAAAAAAAAAAAAAGACTCCAGCTCGTGCATTGAGCAAAAATTGCCCACGTCAGCTCAAGTCTTAGCGCATAGCGCTATTTTTACGAATATATGGCCCGGAGAAAGAAAGAGACGGTAAAAAAAGCCAACGAGGACTGCGATTAATTCCCGTCAGTTCGCGAACGTAGCACATACGTTTTTTCTCTCTTCTCCGCTGGCAAAGAGGAAGAGCCGGTATAATATACACTTTGAAACGGCTAAAGGGATACGGAAGGGGCTCTCGATGTTTCTGAAGGAAATGTGTGCGGCTTTTAATAAACGTATAAGGATCACACCAAACGTTCAGGCGTAGCAAAAGTATTTGCAAAAGCTATTGCGTCTTATAGTTTCAATCTGCTATCGAGTACGTCTCAGCATGATTAGAACTTTCAATTTTTTTTAGTTCACTGGGAGGCAATTAATTGAAAAAGGATAATGATTTGTTATGGAATGAGGATATGTGTAAAAGGACACACGACATATTACTAATTTTTATGTGTGTATGATATATAAACCGCAGTGAAATTTCCTGCACTGTTGTTGTTTTTAAAAAATGTTGTAAAAAAATTATTGGAAAGTTGTACCAAACAACGGCTCTCCGATATTAACACAAGTATTTTCTGTATAAATTTGATAACATAAAAATACACACTTAGTTCTGAGGTTGTTGGTATTGACTGTATGATTTTTTATAAATTATTAAGATCAAGTATTTTTGGTCAAGTACTGCAATGGTACGTATTATTTCTTTGTACCTGCTTTAGAAATTTCTAGTAGCAGTGGTAACTTGAACTATGCAATAATTAATCAAAAAAAAAATTTTTTTTAACGATTTGCTTCTAAGATATATACTGCTAACACGTGCAAGTTGAAAATGTTAAAAATGGTATGCGTCTTATGTACAACAGTGTTAACAAACTATAAAATTAAAAAAATTTTTTTTTAGAAAACAACTTTTTTGCATCAACTAAGGTCCAGGGCTTAGATGCGAAATAGTATTTTTAATGTGAAATAGACAAAAGTACGGAAGTCACAAAGATTTTTAATGAAGAAAAAACAAACAATATTTTATAAACACAATTAAAATCGCTACTGATGATAAATTTAGAAACATTAACATGATGAACATTTGTTTTTCATTAACTATTGTTTTACAGTACGTAGAATTATTTGCATGAGAAAAATACCCATAGTATCCCCTGAGGGGCTTTATTTTTTCAATTAATTTTTCGAAAAAATACACTCTACATCATAACCACATGATAAAATTGGAATATTCATCATCAAGTCAAAGCACATCATGAGCAGCTTTTATCGTAACAATAAACATCAACCATAATTTTGTATTGATTCATAAAGAAAAAAACTTGATGAAAACCATTTCCTAACCGAGCCCCGCTCCCTCGCCTCAATTTATTCGGGAAAGTTTCAAACTATACTTGAGCGGACGGTGCGTTCGTCTTATCGATGAAGCAGCTTTTTGCTATTGATTTTTCCCACTCGGCGCTAACGAAACCCGCGCGAGATAGTTTTTAGGAGTGCTTTTAAAACAGAGGACAAGCAATGAGCCCCACTTGGCATTTCATCGTAAGTACCCTACCTTCCCTATTGATTGAACGAGCTTATTTTTTCAGCCACGACGCTGAAACAACCACGAACCCCCCACTCGCTCCTCCAGAGAGAAGCTTACACCCGTATGTGTATGTCGTAAAAGCTTTATAAGAGTTTCCCGATGAACTGTAGCTCCACCGACGAACCAAATACGTGGGCGACGCTGAAGGGCTTAAGTACGTTTTTTTACTCGAGAACCGGCATAAATCACAATAAAATCATAACGCGTGGCATTGTCATGCAAATTTCGTGAGAACGGAGCAAGTGCTTTTTTTTTCTTCTTCTTCCACTCGGTCGTCGTTACGTTTACAGGAGGAAATTAGCTCGAGTACTTTGGTGGTTCGAAATGAATTGAGAGTCAAACGAGCTCCAATTGATGGTAGAAAATGCACTTTGGAAAATACACACGTTCATTAAATTTTAAAACAATTTACGTGTGTACGATCAACTTTAAAGCTTATTTGATACTGTACGTCCACTGTATCATTTCCACCTCAAATGATGAGCAGAAAATATCTCGAATATCAATAACATGTTCAAGCGAATTGTGGTGCTCGTAGCGTGTTTGAATATGTACCTCTTACTTAAAATAATACATTAATAAACGAGTAAATAACAAAGTGAGCACTTTTGTCAAAACTTCCGCTCCACCTTGAATTTTTCCTCCCTTTTCCTGATTTTCATTATATATTTTCAAGTCACCAACTTTTAAGTGAAGATTCGTGCTTTTATTTTCAGTTTTCTCTATCCTTTGGAGAAAAAAAGCTTTTCAAACCCTCGACGAATCCCCTATCAAAAGTGCTTTCACGTTCACATACACATCGTATTACCGCAACAGTTTGCACCTTGCCGTTTTATCCTTGGACTGTTGTATCCACTTTCCAAAAGGCATTCAGAATTCCCGTGGTCGATAAAAATGAAAGAAGCACGTGCTTTTTTCAAAAACCAAACATGTACAGAAAAAAAAAAAATTCAGCTTTACATCGATTTTCTCGTGTGATAATACCACTTGACAGCTTAAGAGGGGAAACAACAATTCAACCCCCTCCCCCCCCCAACATGTGTTCCTAACGTAAAGTACAAAAATATTAGGGACTGTAGATGTTTCGTACGCATATGCGTGGTTGTGATTAATCAATATATAGTCATCACGACGGGGTAAGTGCGTGACTCTTTGTGGAACGACAAGGAGCTTTTTTTTGAGCTTTTAAGAGCGGTTCGTTCCAGATGACACATTGCACCATTACACGTTGGTCATGCAATATATTTTTGACATACTCTATACTTTTTTATAAATTTATGAATCTTTTTTTACCAAATCGTGCTGGAAAATTTATCCATTCTTTATAATACTTACATCAACCATGATTAGTGTGCTTACATCTGACAAAACAAGCGAGGTATATCATTTTAAATCTTTCAAAAAAATTTCTCTATACCGTATAACTACATTTTTCTGTGTTGAATATTACATATGTACAAAAAAAACTTGCACAATGTATTTTGCACCATATTTGTACCAAAATTAGTGCAAGTAGTTAATCAGTGGATAAAGATAGTATCCATGTTAAATTCAAGAATTCATTGTGACAAACTTAAAAGGGTTAAGTTAACAAAGATTACGTGAGATGAGATCACATACTGAAGTTGACCCTAGTTATCTTCATCTTCATTTATAACTATTTCATGAATTTTAAAATAAATCCAAACTTATTTAAATATTTTACTAATTTTTTTATCATGTTTCATAACACGATTCTTGGTCAAACTCATCAGCACATATATTAAAACTTCTTAAACCATAAAACACTAAATAAATAAGTAGGTAGCTAAGGAGGGGGGGATAGTTTAAAATGACAGCTTACCGAATTGTTTTGCAAAAGGGAGCACTGAAGAGGCAGTAAATGATTGGGTTAGCTGCTGAGTTGAGAGGCGCCAGACTCTGGATGAAGGTGGCGATCGCAGTATTTGTCTGCGATTTCGGTATTTGTCCGTAAACTTGTAGGAGATCGAACACAATGTACGGGCTCCAGCACAATATGAACACTGAAACATTTCAAAGATAAGCAATTTTTATTGCCAGGGTTGAGGTTTGCATTTAATTTGAAAACAATTAATTGATAAGTTTTTAAATTTTACTTTAATGTTTAACTGAAAATAAATTGATCGTAATAATTATTATGAGAAAAAGTCACCAAGTGGGCTGAATTATATATAATATTTTAGTTTCGAAGGAAATTTTATTCACACATAAATCTCTAAGCATATTAGACTCCATACTTTTGAAAAACCCAGAATTCTTAGAAATATTTTATTGAAAACTGTAATTGTTAGTGAGAACTATTTAAACAATTTTTCGTTTCATGCAGCGTATAGTCACGTGTGGGAGTTTACTAAATAGTAAATCATTTGTTCATTCTTAGAGTAACCCTTGGTTGTTGAAAATAATTTTCAATTTTCATAAACCATAATCCAAAGGATAATTTGTACGGATATCATACACATGTTGGCAATTATTTTTTGGAGAATATAAAATTCCAAATTCCAAATAAAAGCATAATACTGTCCAGAAATCTTTTAACGGACTGTTTGGAAAATTCGCTTTGTCAGAGCGGAAAATCCTTCCCATGAAAATAATAGAAAGTTTATTTGAAGAAGATTACGTGAGAGCGAAAATATTTTGTTGACATTTTTCTCTTTACGGTAGTCGTGTTATTTTATCACCACGAAAGAGAAAAACTGTGATTTTTATTTCTGACGTTGTTCGTATTTTTTCGTAAAAATAATTTCAATTAAAAACAATGTGTGGTTACTCCTGCAATGAAAATAAATTTAAAAAGTGTCAAATCCTAAATAAATTGAAATAAATCACTTACAAAATCTCGGTAAACTCGAATTTAGAACGTATTATAATATCCACAACGTCGTATATACACAGACATAGGCACGCTTATCCGGCTACGATCCTGAAAAAAAGCAATCGTGCCCAAAAAAAGGGTCTCGTCGTCCCGTAGGCTTTCCCTTGCTTTTTTACCTCCTCTCGAGTATTTTTTCTCCCCCAGATTTTTTTATCACACTCTTTGACGTAGGCCATACCATACTCATATAAAATAACGATTCAGAGAAGATCGTCGCTGAAGTTTGTTATTTTTTGTACACGCATACAATGTAGTCCTCTGGGAGTGGCAGAAAGTTCCCAGCACTCTTATGCGCCGGGGTTATTAATGGGGTGCTGGGGTGATCGGTAAGTCGAGATATTTCGATTCTTTTGCTCCTTTTTTTTGGTCTCACATTTTTTTTTTTTTTTTTTTGTACCCACATAGAGATACAGAGATTAGTGAGTAAGATAAAATTTGACTGTACTGTAACGAAAAAAAAAGGATTGCCGAGAGCTTTGCCTTGTGTTATAGATTTTTTTCTGTTCCCTAGGACCATAATAAAATAGAGATTTGGTTCCCGAGAGAGTTTTTATACATCTAGACTGTTCATTACGTTAGAATATCGTGGCAGTAAAATGTAAAAAATGTTGGATTTTTTCATTATTAATGAACTGTAAACTCGTTACACTTGTAGTCCCGTTTCTATTCTTAATAATCAAAAAAATTTAATGAGCTTCTCTTACGGAAAGTACTCGTTCATCTATAGTATACCTACAATGAAATGTTAGTGATAAAAGCTGTAATGATAATTTAATTTAAAAGTTGTTATTTAAACACAAAAGATTATGAAATGAAAGAATAATATAGCGATACATTTGTGAAATTTTGTGGTAACTGAACATATCCAGGATCTTGGACTGAAATTGTCACGTTATAAAGGATGTGGAGAATGAACCAGTCAGTACATGGGTTTCCGTTTCGAACTTTGACATCTGATATGTACATCCACATGCAACGTGGGACCTTCACAATTTGCGGATCACGTATAGATTATTTTAGTTGTCAAAATGTACATGTGTACCGTGTAAGACACGATAAGCTTTAGTGGCCGATTGGCCTGATTTACTCCCTCGAGTGGAATTTTTATGCGAGACTACCGAGGTATAGCTGCATAGGTACTCTTTTATACACTAACAGAATGATTTAATGCTGTTTACGGATCCGAATTTTCCGAGGTACACAGTAAGATTTGGACGCGATACTTTCCGGGGCCGAGCTCGAGATTTCTTGGCCTGCTATAAACTTGGAAGTATACTCAGCTGCCTGTGTTTTTTCTCGTGGTTTATCGCCGGATGAGAAGAAGAGGGGTGGGTACGTATTGAGATAAATTTTTCTCCGAACAATTCAACTTTTTATGACGTCAATGAAAACGAGAGGTCTTTGGTCTCGATTGTTTTGGATTGTGTTGGCTTTAGCAAAAAAAATATGTATATATGTGTATGTATAAATTTGAATATACTGCTGATTTTCAACACGAAAAATGTTAGAAACTCCAACAATGGAAATAAGTATGAAAAAGCATAAATAAGGATCATAAGTATTTGGCTACTACTTAGAATGCTGATACTGAATAATATTATACCTGAGATATCGCTTTAAGAACCAAAGAAGCTACAGTTACCGGGACACTTTCTCGACAGCTTTATGAAATAAAAACGAGGCGATGCCAAATACTCGGAGGACAAAGCTTTGTTACTCGGGCATCTTCATCTGACGGGTATGTAATACACGTGGCAATAAGCAGATACCAGAGAGATCGCAATAACAGTTTACATGTTTTTATTTTCCAACATTTTTCAAAAGCTTACGCGTATGTGTATACCTGACCGACAGTGCCATAGTTTTGTTTGTTTCGTTTGCCGCTGAAAAGTTCTTTGTTTGTCCTTTTACATTATGACTTCATTTCCAAGCTCATATTGTATCCCTCCATCATTGAGATAATCTGGAAAAAGTGCCACTAACAGTCGACGTTAACTCTCTCAGAAAATGTTTTACTTTTTACACTCGTTTTATACGTTTAATCTGGAAAATTTCTATTGATTGTAATTAATGTTCCAACTAGTTTATAACTTTAGGTTTTTGTCTTCATTGCATAGGGTGGATATTGTTTTTCTGAAAGGGATCTGATTAAATCCCCATTCTAATTATACTTATGATTATCAAATGATCCTTGAGTCACGATAGTAATTATAACGTTTTCGTATCTTTATTTGCGTCATTACAACTGTAGTATTTTCTCACACATCGCATTATACATGAAGACTGTCAACATCAAGAAAATCTGTAAAGAAGTGGTTTTTAAACGATGTTAGAAGAACAAACAAATGGACAAGAATAATGGGAAGCTCATCCGTCTCAGTGAGCGCGGAGATCCGTGCTTACTATAACTGGAGGTCCACCTGAGTAGCTTCGGCATTTCATCGGGATAAAAGTTTTATTTTTGTTTATATCTTAAGGGGGCCTTGTACTCATAGATGACCTTACGGCCAATCTATCTACTAAGGATACTGGTAACGCGGCTACATGGTTGCTGAAGGATTCAATCAAGTCTGCCATGGAAAATCCAAGCAATGTCAGTCTGATATGTTGTTAAATCTCTACTAAATCTAAAAAAAAAAAAGTACCAACCCGACGGCCTACAGACTACTCTGTCACCATCAATTACCACTCCTACGTAATACTTCTTGGTGAAAGCCCTAGAGACACCTTAAGTGTATTTAATACACCCACCCGTTAATGATCTAATACGAGTCAAGACGAGAGATAATCAAGAAAGAAAAAACATCTAAAGATTCATATTATCTCATCCTTTTTTTGTCGACAGTACCTATATACATATCAGTGTGGACGAAAAATAATCCAAAGGTCGTACGTGTACGATTCTTTCAAGCCCTTATTCTACGTTTCGTACATTATTTACAGCTCAAAATCAAGAAATTTCATTTACAATCAGGAAATTATAAATGTTACAGTGGGTTCTCATAAATAATTGAAGTGATTTTTTTGAATGTTAATTATCTCTCGTTGAAAAATTGCCTTCATTGGCATGCAACGTAAACTGTTGTTAATTTGACAACGACGCCTTGAACAATACATGCTTTGTGAAACACAAATCTCCCACAAAGTAGTGCGACAAAAAAAAAAGCATACATAGGAACAAGCACCCAGAAACGCTACTCATCCGAAACAAATGGCCATCAGAGGCACTATTCGCCCGTGCTACAGTTATGCCACCGCCACGAGCTCATCTAAAAACGAAAACTCCCCTCGTGTGTTGTAACGGTGAGCCAATCTTTTCTCTTCCTCGAGCCAAACACGCGCGCCCATCCATCAACATCGTATAAACTTATTACACAAGCCGCGACGCTACAGGGGTGTATTTATCATCCCTCAACGTATGATTTATGTGATACCCACCGAAAACGATGACAAGCGTCATCTTGACTGTTTTGATTTTGGCCTTTGGTATGATGCCGCGCGACGAGGCTCTCCGGGTGTCCTGTGTCGCGTCCTGCCTCAGCTTCGAACTCTGCGACCAGATCGTGTAAATGATGACCACGTAGCAGCCGGTTATTATAAGGGTTGGCACGACGAACAACGTCACGCTCACTATCGTCATGTAGATGCGCCAGTTCGTCTCGGAGCCCAGGTCGATCCAGCACTGGGGCTTGTCCTGCATTCAATTTTTGATCAATTGTTTCATTTCTTTGAAAATGTCTTTCGTGCGTATTGTTCATTGTAGTACATTTAAATGATTTGACGAGATGATCATGTACTATTAATTATAATGTCAATAAACAAAAATTGTCACGTAAAACAAATTAACTGGTCGCACACGCTCAAAGCATAAAGTCAATAACAATTTTCAACGTATGTTGGATAATCAAAAGAAGTCTTTTTTTTTCACAATTTCAACTAATAAACAAAGAAAAAAAACTCTCATACAATTTTATAAACATAGTCATTACAGGAGACTCGATTGTTTAACTTTCACAAAAGAGACTCCTTTTCACGCGCACAAATGGATGGGTTGGCGTGCTCCCGTATAAAACCACTCACCTCGATCATTTTCTCCTCGTAGAGAAAAAATATGGGCACGCTGTAAAACGCAGAGATGCCCCAGGCGGCGATCACCAAGGCCTTGGCTCTCCACCCTGTTGATGGAAAAAAAAAATATTATATACTTGCACGTATAAATATACAACCGGTAGCTTGGCAGAGCATAAATTTACCGACCCACGCACGCACTGCGTGTGCAAATAATTGAATTTGAATCCTAACTTTTGTATTTCTACTCTGTGTATACATTAGACTCAAATGGCACGGTTATTTGAATGTTCAATCATTTCGACGCGAACAAAACAATACCAACCGCGTGTATGTAACATCAAGCCGACGTTTATATGCACCTCTTAAACGAGCTGGGGGTCCATACATAATCATTTCGAGTCGAGAAAAAATTTGAATTGTTTGCAAAAGGCGTTGACGTGCCCCTGCACGCAAACCAAGAGCTAATTGCAGGCTCGTCGCCGACTCCACATCTCAATTACCGCTGGATCCGACACTAATGACCAGCTCGATCGTATGGCTTATTATCTGCCACCCAATGATCCACCTCATGCATGCATGTATATGGGAGGAAGAAAATCCACGGGTGTAATTTAATAAAGGGAGGACACGTGGGTATATAGCAGTCTTGGGAGATGCAAAAAGCGAGGACGGGGTGATGACGATAAAGAAAAAAAAAAAAAAAAAAAAAGGAGCAGAGACGGGCAGGGATCAACGACTCGCCACGAAAAAATGCGCGCTTAAAGGGTATACATCCTGCGGATTGTTCGAGCTGGAGGAATTTTACGAGGCTAGCCCGCGGGCGGACGGAGAAAGAAGAAGAGGAGGAGGAGGGTCGCGCTTTTGCTGTACCCGCAGTCTTTTCGGCGGGTGCAACGACCAGAGCGGATTTTTCTTGATTGGTGCTGCTTTGAAATTTCACGGGAAGAGGTGGATGGAGTCTGTTTGAGCTTTTTTGATATTTTGGCTCGAGGAATTCAATTAAGGGCACATTTGCACGGGTGATCGTTGAGTGGGACGTGCCATGGGTGGGACGAAGATGTTGCGCACTCGTGTGAGATCTTTGCTTGTCGGAGATATCGAGGGAAGGATGAAACATTGATCCACTTGGTTATGGGAGCTTTCGGGCTGCTCAATCTCTTCGAATATCCGTTGCGAATTCACGCATGTAATGCAACTGCATCGATTCACTGTTTACCATTATAAAAAGGACTTTATTCTTTTGGATGAAAAAAAAACGTAATTTAGTAATTACTTGAAAATCAAAACTGATAATTCATTAAATTATTTATCACATGAAACCCTAAGACTCACTTTTTTATACGAAATTATGTACAAGCAAAGTTTATATTGATAGTTTGATACAGAATTTCTAAAATAATTTAACGTTTAAAAGTATTACTCGTATTTTTTATGGCGCGCTTAACTTGACATGTAGAGACTCCCATATAATACCAAAAAATAATATAGCGTGTAAAAATATATTAAATAGCGTACAAAAAAAATAGAAATAAATGTGTACAAGTTTGCATAAATATTGCCGTGTACCCAAAGGCAAAAAAAAAAAAAAAAAAAAAACACTGCATGTACCCACTCACAAGTCATACTCACAACCTCTGGAGAACTTCATCGGCCGGATGATGGCGTCGCATCTGTCTATCGAGAGGGCAACGAGGACGTATGTCGAGCTGTAGGTGACAACGACCTGGGCGAAACGTATGACCTTGCAGGCAAAATTTCCCGCGTACCAAGCCACGGAGTACCGCCAGATGATGTCAGTCAGAACTGATATTATGCCCACCAGGAGATCTACAATGGGAAACAGGTTGTTAAGAGTTTCGTGCCATCCAATGGCTTGGATAGCAAACGATGTTAGATTGGTTCTTGTGATGGTGATTGTACCTATGGAGGGGAAAATGATACTTGGGTAATCAATTCGTTCTCGAATATTTCTTCCAAATCATTTCTTACTTTTTACATCTAACATCAAATGCATGCATCGGGATTAATAAATTTACTGTGCGTGTGATAAAGCTGAAGTCCATAAAGAAAAGGGTTATTCTTTCATTTCTTCTATTGGAAAAATGTAATACTTGATTTACTGTCACCCCACTTATATTCATTTCATCATCGTTATGAAAAACGTTGTTTTCTCCACTTTATACACTGATATCTTAATTCAATGCTCTCGAAGTACGTTGGTAAGTGATTTTTTTTTTTTTTTTTTTTTTTTTTTTTTTTTTTTTTTTTTTTTTTCTATGTATTTTACGAGATCAATTTAGTTTTAAAAATACTCCAACTATGTAGTAGATTATAAGAACTATTACCAAAATTTGTATCTAATGATCATTTATCATCATTATTTTTATTGTAACAGATCTTTATTAAGTGATTTTTTTTTATCTCTGATAAGCAAGCAATGTCTTAAACGTCATTTTAAAACAATTCTAATGAATATGTCAGATCTAAATGATAATGATAATGTTTTTTTAATACCTCCTGTGGTTGATAACGCGACATCACATTTCATAATCTAATGTTTTTATGCTTGGACGTTAAGATAATGATTGTAAACAAACTAAAAAAGCATTGCAGGAGATACGACAAATCTCTAAATAATTCATGTTGGTAATTTTTTGCATCGCTTAGCTGATGAATGAGAAACAAAAAAATTTTTATTTAGATATGGTCTCACTACTTCTCGAATCTTCGTACCATATTTTTCCTGTTCATAGTTTTAGTGAGTAGTTACTGATTTTAATAATTTATGGTATAGGTATTTATTTTATTTTCACAAGACTAATGAAGTTGAGAAAAAAATACGTAGCATATCTAGTATTTGCAGACATTTTTTTGTCGCAAGAGTTGCTTCCCAATGTTAATGACTCAAAGTTTTAGCCATCGTACAGGTACACGTGATTATTTGAGTTGAAGGGCTTCTAAAAATTAGTTTGGTAACTTACTCCTTTTTGAGCAGATTCTTCTTCTTATTTTCCCTCCCACTTTAAGATGTACGTGCAAGTATTCGTTGAAGAACTTTTAACTGCGTATGCGAACAAAGCTAAAAATGTGTCGTGGTACAAACAAGGAAAAAAAGGTGACTATGTGTAATGAATTTTGTAGCTCTTGAAATTAATTTTTTTTATTTGGACTTTTATTAACGATAGACAACTTGTGTTTTTTTTTTTTTTTAATATCGATGAACTTTTTTATACCCGTTACGAAATAGTGTCACACTTAGTGAGCTTGAATGTCTGCCCACTTAAAAAATACAATTATTATTATTGATGTTGCTAGTTTTCATTAAAAATTTTACACATTTGTTTTAATTTTCCAACTGACACATAATACTAGTTTCCATGTGTGAAATCATAATACCGCAATGTCATCAACCACCTTCCCCACTTCTAAACTTTTACCCGATCTATCTTTGTCGATTTTAATTTATATGTATTTATAAAAAAAAATTAATTAATAAAATAATAAGTAAAGTAAAAAAATTTGAATCCAAAATTTTTTTGCAATTTACTGAATAAAATGAAATNTTTTTTTTTTTTTTTTTTTTTTTTTTTTTTTTTTTTTTTTTTTTTTTTTTTTTTTTCATGCAACATTCCAAGTAACTAGACAGTAAGGTATAAGCCTCATTTAGTTGAGCTGATTTTGGAGATACTCTGGATGTATGTCTTTCTGCATTTAAGTACAAGAATAAACTCACTGAGCACCACGTTGATCACCTTACTTTTACGTTCAAATTTTGATTTACACATTATAATGAAGCTCAATGTATATAGGGTTACACTTTATTAAGCCTTTTTCAAAATGTTATTTTATTGCAATTTAAACAGATTTACACATAAAATTGCGGGCAATTAATCAGCTCGATACTTTTGTGTGGCCACCTTGTTATTATACGTAAGCATACTGTAAAAAGAAATAAAAAAATTCTATCTCAGTAATTACGAGATTTTATGTTGTGTGCTATGGACTTCGACGCTTACATGAACTGATGGGGTGATCATACGTTATCTTAACGAGGTCCTTCTCGAGTTTATTGCTCAGTTTAATAGAATCGAATTTAATTGCTCTTGTTCGCTGGACAGTCCATACATATACACAAACCCAGAGCTCAAACAAAATTTATTTTGCTTCATAAGAAAAGCCTTGAATCGGTCAAAAAAACATTATTTATATTTGCAATTTTACAAATTCATTTAATGGATGAATAAATATTGTCAACTAAAAAATGTCTTATTTAAAAATATTTTATTTACATATTTTATTTGCTTTGCTCATTAAACCCCTCTTCGCTATGATTTTCTTATGCAGCCGCCTTAGTGTATTTATATTTATAGATACGATTTACGAATTTTCAGTAACACTGCCGTCCTTATTTTACACGTTTATATGCGGTACAGTGTGACAATCCCCTCAATATAATGGGCTTATACTAGAACGAGGGTGAAAAAGTGCTAATGCGTCATAAGTACGTGAACGGTAGCTGAAATAAGCTCAAGTATACGAGGACGTGACTGGGTTGCGATTTTAGATGGCTGATACCGATACGGATAAAATTCAATTGCATGGTAAGAAATGGCGCGTAGCGGGATTCACAGTATATCTTGATTTCCATTGATGCTTTTTTTTGTTCTTATTATACAGTAGATGGGTTTATTTTTTATACAATTATAAGTACAAAATTTATGTTTAAAACAAAATTACTGTAGGGAGCTTTTAAGATTGTTGGTGTTTTTCAACTGGTTTTTTTGGAATTTAATTTCAATATACATTGTGTTCAATAAATATTTTATAATAAACATGATGTAAAATATTTTAAAATAAATATAATATGTCAATTTATTAAATATTATGGCCAAGTTACTGAGTCTTTTCAACATAAAATGTAACGAGTAGCTGATAAAATGTAATTACTTTAGAACACGTAATAAATAAATCTCTCGTTTGTAAAGATAAATTAGGAACACAAGTGAGCAAGAAATAGCGTAATTCAAAATTATATCCGCTGTTTCAAATAGTTATCTTTTCATCACATTGAAATATTCAATATAAAGCAAATGACTTTGAATCTAGAAAAGCAACAGAAGTATACGTTCAGGAAATTAAACCATATTGCTTTCTTTTGTGTACCGAGTCTATATAAAGCTAATACAATCAGTGACTAAAATTAAAATCTTCAAAGTAAAAAAACTAGTACTTTTAGTAATGGTAGAAAGTATATTTCTAGACTAACCTGCCAGGGCAAGTTGTATGATGAAAAAATTCATCCTGGATTTCCTTCTGTGTCCATGGAGTAAGTTCGCGAGCACAGCCGTGTTGCCGGCTACGATTATTACAAACAGCAGCCACAACAGCGTCAATTGTTCAGTCTGCAAGCACAAAACGATATGCAAACATATATTATAACTCGATTTGTTTTTACTCTTAATGTGTAAGAAACTGTAGAAAACATCATAACAGCACATCTAATATCTGCAATTGCTTGAGCAAGCTCTATTTCTCAACTAATTAAAAAAAACTTACCGTCACTTTCTGTAAATGGGCAAAATAAACATGTATTGGATTTAACGCAAGTAAAAGAAAAAAAGTTATATAACGATGTCAAGTGGAAAAAAAACCCCATAAGAATCGTACCTGAAAAAACACCTTCTTGCCTAACTTGTGTGTACAACAATAATTTAACGCTGATTTTGTTAACAGCTTTATACAATTTTTTATTGTGTCTCTTTTGCGAATTTTTAAATCGTCCTAAAAAGTATTATAATCACTAAAAATATTCTATAAATTATTTTTAATTCCATCCACGAGACGTGGGTTGAAGAAAATGTGATTGTGGATTATGGATAGCATCAAACTTTGATAATTATTTTCTATAGCTAGAAATAGTAAAGCGAATTTTCATCAAAATCTGTTTATGTGCACATCGACAATATAGAGATTTTTTTTTTAGATGTGACCCCTTTCCGTACAAAAATTTTTCCTTTAAATTTCTTTGTACAGTTTTTATTACCTACTCGTTAAACAATCCCTGGATAAAACCTGGACCAGCGAAACATTATTTGTCCACCCGCCCATCCCCAACAGCCGTGGCATCGGCAAAAGCTAGAATTACTGCCCTCCTTAATTGCACAGCTGCGAAGCTTCGCTTGCCCCGAGATGTATACCCACGGAGCGGCCATAACTAAGATCATCTTTGCCGTCAATTTATACGCTGAACTAGGCGCTGCGAGCCCCCGATCTTTGATGCCCCCGTGGTCGTTTTCGTCGTCGGTGTGTGGCTTAAGTGGGCGTTTTTGGGATGATTAAGTGTCGGATGCACAGCAGGGTTTTCTTGCTCCCGCGCGTATTACAATTTTAGATTAAGTTCTTCGAACTCTTACTACTCTGCTGATTTACGCTAATCGGGCGTAAATCAATCAATTCTTTGATCATCATCCAAATTGGCCTTGTTACGAGCAACAACACGATTCGATCACATAATTTTTCAATTTTCTACCGATTAACAATATCAACAGTTTTGGGACCATGTGATGGTTCAAAGTGTAGTTTCATCAGAGCAAGCGTTTGGAGTTTTCAACAATTGTATTGGTTGATATAAACCCGGAACCAGATACCTTGAGCTTGGCGTAAAATTTTTGCTCCAATTAAGTAATCGAAAAATGATGCGATTGATCAGATGTTGGAATTTCTCGCCAACCGAGTCCAACCGGTTAATCGTCGGCGATAACACGTGCGTGGCTGTTCCGTTCGGAAATACAAAGGCGTTCCAATATATGTATACATACGCGGTGTACGTGAGCTTGGGGTAATTGCACACGAGGAGGAAGAAAAGAGCGATAAGAGAAGAGACGTCACACGTGTTGCTGATCGTAAATTCGGGAGCTGAGCCAATAGGAGGTGCACGCACGAACGTGTGGCTGTGACATATCCTGCAAAAGAAAGATGTTAGTAATAAAGTTTTGCAACATTTTTTTTATTGCTCATTTTTTTTCCCATCAGGTGACGTCTTTGGGCAAACAGTGTTATTGTGTAACAGGAGAATTTAAAGGCTTCGAAGATTGACGTGTGCGTCTTTTAAGAAAATACAAGCTGTGCTGACAAAGCTGCGTCGAGAGAATAAATTATGACACTTGAATAGGTGCTCGATGGTATCGAATGATTCGTTGGTACACGCGGGAAAAAGTGGGTGCAAACAGCAACGCAAAGTCACGCGTAAATGTTGGTTTCAAGTGAACCGGAATATACAGCCAAAACCGATGAAAAAATTAAGTCTTACTATGCCTGCGAGCTTCGTGTGACGTAAATGTAACTAATTAACCGCTAATAGATGATAGGTATGATGTATTTTCGTGACGCATGAAAGTCTTTTTAAATTATTTTTTGTGCAAAGTACGTTTTCTCATTTTCTTTGCAATTTTCATTTTTGTAATAAATTTAAAAATAATATGCACAGTATCGATATTTACTTAAAATTAAATACTCCAAAATATAAATAATGCAAAACAAAAAAAATTTTGTGATTAACAGTGGTTTCAAACAATTTTTATGTTTTATTTCTCGCGTACAATAAAAAAAAAAAAAAAAAAAAAAAAAAAAAAAAAAAAAANAAAAAAAACGTAGTGAGCATGTATGTCATGGCTATATAATTTCAATAAAATCGTATGAAAGCAACGTTTCTGATGTAACAACATCAAATATTGCGCAAAAGTACGGAAGTGCCAAAAAGTGCGATAACGCAACATTAATTATTCGTTTTTAACGAGGAACAGAAAAATAAAAAATAGTTTAGCCTCGAATTGTCTTTGTTCCGTTGTTTCGTGAAAAAATCCAATAGTTTTTTTATGGAGAAAAACGGCGTCATTAGAGAATGAAAAATACACCCCCATAAATAACGCATCGAAGTACAAGGCGTACGACCCATCCATCTCTGCCTATTCGCCGATTCATTCAAACTCCTCTGCTGTAGCTGCAGAACCTTCTGTGCAGCCATTACGACACAAACATGTATCTTAAAGGTTTCGGTACCTCGAAACATCACAACTCACTGGAGTCACTCTCAGTGCCATTTTGTAATTTAAAGCGAAAAAAAAATTATTCATACAACGCCACCCCCTTTTTTTTGCTTGTCCAGAAATTCATGGGAAACGTTTAAGGCAGCGAGTAAAGGATTTATCATCGTTTTATTGAATCATCTTACGGTCGCGAAAGAATTCCAGCATCAAAGTCCGAGAAGAGCGTTTTCCAACGACCACTCAATACAGCTCCGGCGGATAACTCACTTTCCCAAGGATTCAACAAAACCAACGGGTATATACACGCGACATCCATCTCGTTAGCTTCGCGACATCCAGGGAGTCTGCATAAGCATGAGACTCTACGGCGTTCGATGGTATTCGCGTGGAATCGCGCAGGGCCTCCGTAAATGGCAACCGAGAAGCAACTGTGCCGTAGAATCTCGCGTTTCTCGTTCGCGGACGAGAAGGGAAGAGCAACTACTGCCTGAATAATCGCTCGCGCCGTCCGAGATCGCGATCCTTTTTACTGCGGATATTTTTTTAATTGCGCGATTCAACTAGGCCTGACCCCTTCATTCACGTCACGGGAGCTTTATCGCGTTGAAAAAAAAAAAATATTTAGGTGACACAAATTTTTACATATATGTACGCAATTTTTGAAAATTTTGTGCTGGAGCCAAGTCCTCTTGCTTGCACACTATACTCTTTAATTTTCTAAAAAACATCAAACTTTGATAATTATTTTCTATAGCTAGAAATAGTAAAGCGAATTTTCATCAAAATCTGTTTATGTGCACATCGACAATATAGAGATTTTTTTTTTAGATGTGACCCCTTTCCGTACAAAAATTTTTCCTTTAAATTTCTTTGTACAGTTTTTATTACCTACTCGTTAAACAATCCCTGGATAAAACCTGGACCAGCGAAACATTATTTGTCCACCCGCCCATCCCCAACAGCCGTGGCATCGGCAAAAGCTAGAATTACTGCCCTCCTTAATTGCACAGCTGCGAAGCTTCGCTTGCCCCGAGATGTATACCCACGGAGCGGCCATAACTAAGATCATCTTTGCCGTCAATTTATACGCTGAACTAGGCGCTGCGAGCCCCCGATCTTTGATGCCCCCGTGGTCGTTTTCGTCGTCGGTGTGTGGCTTAAGTGGGCGTTTTTGGGATGATTAAGTGTCGGATGCACAGCAGGGTTTTCTTGCTCCCGCGCGTATTACAATTTTAGATTAAGTTCTTCGAACTCTTACTACTCTGCTGATTTACGCTAATCGGGCGTAAATCAATCAATTCTTTGATCATCATCCAAATTGGCCTTGTTACGAGCAACAACACGATTCGATCACATAATTTTTCAATTTTCTACCGATTAACAATATCAACAGTTTTGGGACCATGTGATGGTTCAAAGTGTAGTTTCATCAGAGCAAGCGTTTGGAGTTTTCAACAATTGTATTGGTTGATATAAACCCGGAACCAGATACCTTGAGCTTGGCGTAAAATTTTTGCTCCAATTAAGTAATCGAAAAATGATGCGATTGATCAGATGTTGGAATTTCTCGCCAACCGAGTCCAACCGGTTAATCGTCGGCGATAACACGTGCGTGGCTGTTCCGTTCGGAAATACAAAGGCGTTCCAATATATGTATACATACGCGGTGTACGTGAGCTTGGGGTAATTGCACACGAGGAGGAAGAAAAGAGCGATAAGAGAAGAGACGTCACACGTGTTGCTGATCGTAAATTCGGGAGCTGAGCCAATAGGAGGTGCACGCACGAACGTGTGGCTGTGACATATCCTGCAAAAGAAAGATGTTAGTAATAAAGTTTTGCAACATTTTTTTTATTGCTCATTTTTTTTCCCATCAGGTGACGTCTTTGGGCAAACAGTGTTATTGTGTAACAGGAGAATTTAAAGGCTTCGAAGATTGACGTGTGCGTCTTTTAAGAAAATACAAGCTGTGCTGACAAAGCTGCGTCGAGAGAATAAATTATGACACTTGAATAGGTGCTCGATGGTATCGAATGATTCGTTGGTACACGCGGGAAAAAGTGGGTGCAAACAGCAACGCAAAGTCACGCGTAAATGTTGGTTTCAAGTGAACCGGAATATACAGCCAAAACCGATGAAAAAATTAAGTCTTACTATGCCTGCGAGCTTCGTGTGACGTAAATGTAACTAATTAACCGCTAATAGATGATAGGTATGATGTATTTTCGTGACGCATGAAAGTCTTTTTAAATTATTTTTTGTGCAAAGTACGTTTTCTCATTTTCTTTGCAATTTTCATTTTTGTAATAAATTTAAAAATAATATGCACAGTATCGATATTTACTTAAAATTAAATACTCCAAAATATAAATAATGCAAAACAAAAAAAATTTTGTGATTAACAGTGGTTTCAAACAATTTTTATGTTTTATTTCTCGCGTACAATAAAAAAAAAAAAAAAAAAAAAAAAAAAAAAAAAAAAAAAAAAAAAAAAAAAA